AGTCTTCTTCTGCTGTCAGGGACCGGTCCGGGGTCGAGAGTGTCCAGGTATATCGCCTGGCACTGAGGGCCCGATGGGGTATGAAGTGGGCGCGTGCGGCAATGGGTCTGGCACAGGCAGACGTCCCTGAAGTGGGAATGGTGAGAAGAAGACTGCTTCTCTGGTTCCCACCCCAGGTATGTTTATATACATGGTGCTCAGGTCACATGAGAGTTGCCACGTTGTCCCCATGCACAGCCCCAGCCACCCGGGTATCCCCATGGGGGATCCCGAAGGGATCCGCTGCAGGCGCACGTGCTGGGTGTACCTGGGGGTTGTCCGGAGCATCCAGGGCTGGGTGCGTCATGCATGGGTCGTGGGCAGGTTAGTAGTACATCGATCAAGGGAAGTCGTCCATGTAAATAGAAATAGAAAGAATAGAGAATGAGACAGAGAAGAAATAAGAAGAGGGGGAAGTGGAGGGAGGAGGAGATAGGGAGGGGGAGAAGGGGGTAGTGGGTGGAGTGGAGGTGGAGCCGGGTGAGGCAGGTGTGCCCTGACAGATGGTGGTGGAATTTCCGGATGTTGCTGGGGACACTGCCACTGCCATCCTGTGCCAGTCATTGGAGCAAAGTGTTGCATGCTGGTTTTCAGGGTAGATGATTGGATATGAGCCTCTTAACCCCATTACATGTGACTGTTTGTTTGTATTGAAAAGTGTATTGAGCTGATTTGTTATAGAAACGGATCTAGAATCTTATGGTCCATGACTATAGGCAAGCAGGCTTTGGGATTCCATCACCTTATTTTGCTGTCAAACCCCATGCCAAGCTTTCCCACTGGGTTTTGGTGCTGGCTGGGGGATTTGTTGAGTTTCAAGGGATTTCCCTTGACCATTGTAATATTTATATTAGATAGTTATGAGTCATATGACATGTAAGGCAGTTGCCGGAATTGTTCCTTCCTTATCTAATACATAACCCACAAAACCTTGTACCGTGATTGTAACTGCCACACCATTGTGCTACCACTGTAAGCCTTCTCTGTAACATCTGACTTGGTCCATATCGATGTCTACATCGATATTCTTACAATCTGTGAGAAAACCTCAACGGCCCGGTGAGTGCTCAGACACCGGACCTCACTCTTCCTGCTCCCACCCCCCCACTGGGTGGTTGAGCTCCCATTCCTATCCTTCCTGTAGTACCCTACTGGGTCCTACAACCCTTCCTCCCTTCTTGGGAGGGAGAAGTGACCCAGGCAGCCCCAGGATGCCTGGCCACGTACCCGTGGGCCCAAATTCCCATGGTCACTCACTACCGTGCACTGGTCAACCAACCTGCCTGCCCCAACAAATCCCGCTACCGGTATGCTCCCTTGAGCGCCAAGTAACCGATAGACAACCACTGGGCTACTCCCTCAAGGAGTGCCAACTACCCACGCTACCGGTATGCTCACATGAGCACCAAGTCACCGCTAGCCAACTGTTAGATGGCTCCCTCAAGGAGCCCCCATTATACCCGCTGCTGGTACGCTCCTTGGAGTGCCAAGTCACCGTTAGCATGACACCACACCCGCTGCCGGTACGCTCCTCGGAGCACCAAGTTACCGTTAGTACCGGTCTCAGATCTCCTCCTGCTCTCCCTTCAACAGCTACGCAGCCACCTCTGTCCATGAGCAGAACAGCTCAGGTTGGGTTCCCCGGAACCCATTCCTGTAACATGATTGAATGCTTCAAAACTGTATTAAGCTCATTAATGGTGGATTTGTCCAGAGAACATGACTTCTGAATTGTAATACAAAGGGTACTTAGTTGTTTTCCAACATTTTGCAGTGTGCATCCATGAGCAGAGACAGCTGGGTATGAGTCTGGGGGCTATCCAACTATGCAAAGTGTGTTGATACCATGGGAAACAGTCTGGACACCCCTCCAGACAGTGGCCAGCACTGTGCACAGACATGAGGTGGATGTCAGGAACATGTCGGATGCATATTTGGGTGATCTGCAAGGTGCACGAAGTCGTCCAGGCTCATAAGGTTGGAGGGGTGGGACTTTAGCTTCAGCAACTCGGGTGGAGCACTGTGCTTCATTCTTATGTTGTTGTCCCAATTTCAGACAGGAGCCTTACGATGTAGAGAAGAGACTAGGGGGGGGGTGTTAGAACTGGGCAAGGGTGGATGATTCCGGAGGGGAACTGGAGACTTAGCAAGGAGGGACCTTGGCCTCAGCGACTCAAGCGGAGTGCTATGCCATTGCTGTTTGTCCATTTGGTCCTTAATTTCATAGGTGGCGAGCAGGAGTCTCTAGGGGGCATTTCAGGTCGATTTTAGACTAAGGCCTAAAACGAGTATGTAGAAACAAAGGGGGGTCTGAATCGGAATGAAGGCATCCGAACGGGAACAAAGGGATGACAGAAGTGGAGCAGTACCGAAGGTCATAGGGCAGAACCTGTGGTACATCCAAAAGGAGGTAAGGAGGACGAGGCCCAGAGGGGCAGGACGATGAGGGGAAGTGGGGATGATGACTAACTGGCTAGAATGGGAAGAAGCAGCAGTCCAAATAGGGATGAGGGGGAAATGCGAAAGATACATTACAAGTGGCGAAAGTGCCGAAGATGATCCGTGGAGCTTGGAGGTTGCAGAGCTTATGGAGGTTATGGAGGCAGGGTTGAAAGTCCGAGGAATATTGGCAATGGTGTTTACGTAGTATGAGGTCACCAATGCAATGGACTAAAGCTGAGGTGGAGTCAAAGTCTGAGGTAGGAACTATGATGGAGTCTCGGAGCGAAGGTACAAGTGGTGTCCGAGTACGAGGTATGGGACAGCGGCGGAAGGTCGGTGTAAGAGGGCCAGAGGGAAGAGAGAGGAAAGAGGAAAGGGGAGAGGAGTGGAGGAGAGGAAAGGTGCCAGGTCCGAAGGTGAGTATCGGAGTGGACGGGCGAAGGGTAGGAGAATGACGGAAGGGTGGAGGTGTTGTGAGGAAGAGGAGGAGTGGGAGGAAGAGTAGGAGGAGGGTGGCAAGAGGAGTGGTGTTTGGCCCAAGGTAAGTATCAGAGTGGGTGGAGATAGGACAGGGGAAGGACGGAGGAGTGGAGGTGGCATGAGGGGTGAGAGGAGGTGTGGTGTTAGGACCGAAGGTGAATATCGGAATGGACAGTGGTAGGGCAGGACTCCGGAGGTGGTGAAGAAGGAGGTCCAGGAGTCGGGTCGGGATTGGGTATGCACGGATATGACAGGGGGAATCCAAGTTGATATATGAACTGAGGTACATCCAGTGTAACCTATGCATGTTATAAGCACAACTAACTAAATAGGACCGGCCCGGAAGGGGTGGTGGATCAAGCGTGATATTAATGAATGAAGAAATAGACAAATAGTTAATATCGGCAAACTTGGTCAACAAAAGGCAAGCAAGAACAACAAGTGGCAAAGGAGGAACAATAGTCTGCAAGCAGCGAACAAAAGAGAAAAGGCCATCCGGTCATCTAGCAAGCCATCTGGCTGGCAGGTGGACAACAATGAACCACTCAAATGGGCAACCTTGGTTGGAAGGTACGTGCGTGGGGAGAAAGTGTGGATGAGGGTGACAGGTGGATGGATGGATGGATGGATGATGATCGTAGCAGGTGGGATGGGCCAAGTGGCACTAGGACATGTTGACAGAAGTGACAGATATGCTGGGTCGTGACAGTGGACAGCCACACTAACCCAAAGACTCACATCTAAAAAAGTATTTTGCATTTTTCTCAATGATTTATTAGTCAATTCAGTCTCAAAATATATATTCTGGAAGCTATTCAAAGGGGCTATCCATCTGCATAAAGTGCATTGAGACCATGGGAAACAGTGCTGACACCCCTTCAGACAGTGGTGTCAGGGACTCGTCTGGGGTCAAGGGGGCCCGGGTGTAGCGTCCGGGGCTGAGAGCCTGGAGGGGGGTGGATTGGGTGTGCGTACTGACAGGCCCAATGTAGGACAGTGGTCCCTGGCCACTTAGACTGAAGTGGAAAGTTGTTAATATCATTAAAGGAGAAATACTGTACTACTTACCTGAAGTGGAAAGTTGAGAAGAAGGCTACTTCTTCAGTTCCCACTCCAGGTTCGTTTATATACATGCGGCTTAGATCACATGACAGGTGCCACGTCACCCTCACACACAGCCGTAACCACCTGGGTGTCTCTGTGGGAGATCCCGAGGGCATCCAGTGCAGGCACGTGTGCTGGGCATAGCGGGAAGTCACCCGAGGTGCCCAGGCCAGGTACATGGTGGGTGTGCTGCAGATGGGTCAATGGTACATTGATACAAAGAAGGTCGTCCATGTAGAATAAAGAGAGAATAAAGAAGAAGTAAGATAGGGAGAAAGTGAGGAAGGAAGAATGAGGAGAGAGGAAGGGAAAGGGGGAGGAGGTAAGGAAGGGTGGACAGTGGGGTACCGGGTCAGGTTGGGCCGGGTGGAGCCGGGTCAGGTGGGTGTGCCCTGACAAGGGGCCAGCATTGTGCACAGACAGTTGAGCAGCCTGAGGATTGTCATGGGAAATCAGATTCAATTGTGGCATTATGTTTTGAATGTCTACCCTGAATAATACAAATTTGATTGAATTCCAAATCACAAGTGGCTGTGGGAATGTGGCTGTACAGAATCCTCGCTCCCCTCCCATAGCACACGGTTCTCCAACAATAAGTGCATGAAATGCATGAATTCTCTTAGATTCATAGATGTACCATCTGGAATGGTGTCTGAAAATACAGCAGTCATGCAGTGTGCCACCCTCCCCTGGGGTTCAGCAATGGCTGAATCAACACCCCTTGAATCAGGAGCCAAATCCCTCAGGGTCTCACTTCAAATGGTTTGAAAAACAATTGAGTTCACTTCTGAACTGAATCAAAACATGACACCTTTATTAGAATGCTTTGGGAAATTGGTCAATTCAGCCAGTTTCATTGTATTAGAAGCAACAGGACTGTCAGAAGTGTCCAAAGTTGACCGCGAGATGAAACCACATCATCTTGAGGTTGTGAGCCTAGCAGTGTTCATGTGATTGGAAAGCGAGGTCATGGCTGCAAAGCAGCCTTTAATCCTCTCTTTGTACTCATCCAAATACATGTTGTATCAAGGGAAAGGAGTGGTGGGTTCTGCCGCGTCAGGCGGCGATCACCAGTTATTAAATCTGGAGCAAAGCTATCTATCTAGTTGGAAGACAGAGATAATGTCTGTAAGACCCGTGCAAAATCAGCGCCACGGACTCGTACACAACCCGACATCAATGTTGATGGTTCACGCACCACAACATGTGGGTCAGGATTATTAGCGACGACGCCGTCCCGATCTGCAGTGAGATAGATAGTCTGTGACATTCCATCCCACACGATGAATAACTCTGGCTGGCCTGTGTGGAAGCATTCCAATTGAGTGTTGCCATGCAATGTGGACAGAGAGGCCCTTCGCCGGGGGCGCGAATCTCCGAATGTATGAGACACTCACCCCCATCACGGTCCGTCCACCCGTCGGGTGTGAGGCCTCCAGTTGAGTTGCAGCTCCAAATCGCAGTCTCGAATTGCATTCCATCTATAGAAACAACTTGTGGCTCACTCATGGCAAGTTGAGGTTTGTTATTGGGCGAAGCTGCGTTTGGCATTTCAGTGGAATTAGTGAAATTAGGTGTAGGTGATGAGTGCCTCCTGATCACCGTACATTTCGATGCTGAACCCCCCAAAATAGCAGAGGTTGTCTTCATCCAACGGAGTATAACATCCGGTTCGATGAGACCCGCCAAATAGGGATAGGGAGTTTGAGGATTCTGGAGAATTGCATTTGGAAAACAAACTAAGCGGTAGATGGAGGAAGTCAAGATAACGCACATTATTTCTGAAGGTCATACCACTCTGAGGATTTAGCGAGGCTGTGAAGGTAGCGGCATCCGACTCCTCACGTACGGTGTACCTATCGATCAATGAGACAGGCATATATCAACTCAGATGCGACACAAAAACGAAACACCCACCGATTGCCATAATCAGCCAGCGCGAGGTATCCAAGGGTCGTTCCATTCGAGTCGGCTACTTGGAGTTTTCCCATCCAAACATTTGTGTCGCTTGCCTGTGCCCTTCTGGCAGCTGGAGATCGAATCGCATCACGCCATACATCTTCATGCTACGTGCCAGTGAAGGTGGGTACTCACCCTCAGTTCGTGAGGCTTCAATATTCTTCCTTCGAGCTGGGGGTAAAAGAGGTAAGCCCCTTGCGAGTCGCTTCGCGTTCGTGTCTCCGTGCACAGGGTCGCGAAGCCGAGGTGCAACGCGGCGCAACTCCTGCCCCCGGACGGCGAAGACGGAGGCAATGAAGAGGAGAAGTAAGAAAAGAACAGCGCGTCTGAACATGTTGGAAGACCCCACTAGCTTGAGGGAAGAACACAGGAAATAAGCTAGTTGTGAGTCGTTGCGACGGGTGACCAAGCAAAGCCTCTAAAAGGATCGCAGAGAGAGAGCGGAAAAAAACCCGATGGAGAAATATTAAACATTGATGATGGTGATCTTATTTTCAATGCCGGTGAACAAGTGTCAACATTATCGGTAATATTACGTAGAACCGGAATTACAAACTTACAACATGTTACGCGTCTAGAGCGACCATTATTCAGGTGTTATGTTCTCGCCACATGTAACCACTGCCCACGTTATCTACTGGGTGGTAAGTGCCTGATAGCCGATCGTATGTAGGAGTCAATAATTTACAGTAACCAGTTAATATCTAGCGCTGTTCGGTTACCAATGTTATAACAATAAAGTTTTTCCTTGCTTGCTATGGCCTTCGCTTACAGCAAGCTACAGAAAAAACTGCACACCTAATTTGGTCGATATAATTCTGAATATATTGGAAACGGCTGATCGACAATTTAGGAAAATAATGAGTGCTGATCACCCTGTCCCAATGGCACTCTCTTTACCATGTTCACCTGTAACAATTAGGGCTCCTACAGCTTGGGACGGAAATTTCCTGCACATTTTTTGCAGGTGAACCCAACCAGAAACCCGGTCTGATATTAAAATTCTACTATGAAACATGCATCAAAAACAAATTCTGTGAAGTTTGGCAAAAATGGGGGGCAGCCAATTTTTTGGTCAATTTTTTTTGGATAATTATGGGTCATGGATGCATGGATTGGAAGTGAATGGCCGAAAAAAGGCATATTTACATGTTTATGCATCGTAAATGCTTGTTTTAATGGATCTGTGAGACTTATCATCAGCAAAAAATTGTTATGCTCCTGAGTGCTCCGGAGTATGGAGAGCACTGGGAGAATCAGGAGGAGATTGGCCGGTCCAGGAACAGCTCATTTCCTCCAGAGTTGGCCAGGTACTCCAGGGCACTCCCAGGAGGGCATGGAGCATTAGGGGGTTTCACAGTTGGCTGAAGTGTGTCTGAAATGAGTTCTAAATTGTGTCTAGATTGGCCCAAATTTTGGCTCACGTGCAACCCGAGTTCAGAGCAACTTCAGGCCCAGTTCAGGAATTTTCCAATGGGTGTTCACAGTACTGTCATCTAAAGTGTGTCTAAAGTACCTTGGTCCTGGCTCCTGTAAGTCCGTCATCACATCGTCTCCTCTGTATTATGTAATTACTGTGAAGTTCTAATGCCTGTTGTTTCTGATTGCCAGCGTCTCATCCATGCTGCCATCCAGCATAGCCATCGACTGCGCACACATTACTACCACCGACTCTGTCATATCCATACAATCCCGACCTCTGCTCCGGGCTCCTGGAACTCCGAACTCCGACTTCCGGAGCCCTACTTCCCTTCCATCACTTTCTCCTTGCCGACTCCCAAGAGGTTATCCCACCTCCGGCTCAAACACCACCTTCGGTCTGACTCTGGAACATTCCGGGTCTGACCCCAACCTCGACACCTTCCAGATGATTACGCAAAAACCTATGCTCCCAACTCCAGACCTCCACTCTGGAATCCCGTTCGCGTCTCCGTCTCCGGAACCTCCGGTCTTAGCTCCGACCTCGGACTTTGACCCCACCTCCGCTTATACCCATTGTATTGGTTAGCTCATTCCATTTAATTATGTTTGCCAATATTCCGGAGTTTAACCTCCGAGTTCGGACTTTCCGGACTTACTCCAGACCTTGCAACTATTGCATTGTCCATTTCAATTCCGCTATTCTCCCTCATTCCTATTTGGGCTGCTGCTTCCTTTCTATTCAGTCAGCTAGCCATTCCCCACTCCCAACCTCCTTCCTTCCTCCTTGGGCCTTGGCCCTTCATTCCTCCTTTGGGAAACACCATTGAGTCAAACACTTGACCCTCGGTGTTGTTCCTCTTTCCATCTCCCTTTGTCTCCTTTCGTCCTACCCTTGTTCCTTTTGATTCCGGACCCCTCCTTATATACAATGTACCTAGTAACTTGTAACCTCAGTCCGAAATCGACATGAATTCCCCCAAGAGACTTTCCCTCTGCTAGATCCGAAATTAGGGACCCCCAGGACAACCAGCAATGGCACAGCGCTCCGCATGAGTCACTGAGGCCGAGGTCCTTCCACGCTAAGTCTCCGATTCCATTCAGAGTCGTCCGAATCCGCACGTTCTAACAGACTCCGATGTCTGAGACTGAGCCTCAATAGCTCATTCAGTCCCAGTACTGACTCTGGTGACTCTAGTGACAATGGTACCAGCACAACCTCCGCATTGACAACAAGCAGCAGCAGCAGCAGCGACAACAACAGTGATGGCAACAACAACAGCAACAGCAACAACTCCCATCCATCTGATTTATCCTCCGGTGCTGAACATGACCATGCACTGCAGTCCCTCCATGATTCATATTTCCAGTCCATGTTTCGTGTGCGACATTTTCTCTCCACGCTCATCCACCCGTGTCCTTTATCCACATGAGGTTCCCAAATGTAGTCAGCTAGGGCTCATTCTTGTGTGTTATAAAGATGATGACCCCTCCCGCTTTCGTCAAAATCTCTGCATCTCACCTCACACATTCAATATTCTCCTCTCCCTCATCCAGGATCACCCCGGCTTTTGTAATAGTTCTCAAAATGACCAATGGCCCATCGCATACCAACTTGCTGTCACACTGTATCGGCTCGGACATTTCGGCAATGTGGCATCTGTTGATGCAATTGCACAATGGGCAGGTTGTAGTGCTGGGGCCATTGTTAAGGCCACACGTCATGTCATGATGGCCTTTTTGCCACTTCATAACCAGGCTATTCGATGGCCTAACACAGATGAGAAGTGCGAGGCATCAGATTGGGTGGAGAGTGTGTCTTGTTGTGCATGGAGGCCCGGTTTTTGTATGGTTGATGGCATTCTCATCCTTCTTGTGTCTAAACCTGGACATTTCAGGGAGCAGTTCTTTGATCATAAGTCTAACTATTCCCTTAGTCTCACAGTGCATCCATTTTTTGTCTGCGGATTACTGGTGATGATATCCTTCTAGCTCATAACATTACCGAATCTTCACATCATCGACTACATGTTAGGCCCTCCTGGGAATATGCATGATTCGACTGCGTTCAAGGAATCCCACACATTCACAGAGTCGGACCGACTTTTTCGTGAGGGTGAGTGGTTGTGGGGTGACTCCGCATATGCCCTATTGCTGTGGTGCATGGTCCCTTATAAGCGCCCACAATCCCTCATTTCGTCAAATCGACAATTCAACTACCATCTCTCAACAGTATGTTGGATATCTGGTACTATTTACAAATTAAATGTCCTTTTATAACCCAGGTGTGTATAAGGTCAGAACATGTGGTAGGTTACCTCAAAGGACGATTTCAGTCACTGTGTGGTCTCCATCAACAAATCAACTCGGAGCGTGACTATGTGCTTGCACTCGCATGGGTGCGCACTTGTTCAATAGTTCACTCATTTGCAGCGCGCATTGAAGATCAGGAGTATGAGAGTGATTTTTGGGAATGGGTTGAAGAGGGTCGGAGTGGTGAAGAGGAGAGAGAGGAGGACGAACCTGTTGAAGGCTTCATGTGGGCTGGAGCAGGACCACCACTGCCAGGAGAATCAGAAGTGCAGCAGAAGCGCCGACATGTACAGGAAGCACTCTTTGATGCACTGTACTAACATGTATTTATTTTAAAATGTACTGCTGATTGTGGCACACATGAGGACGTGAAAACTCAGTGGTAGACTAAAAAATCGCAAAGTCTGGGACAGGATGTTGTTGTTGTTGCGGCTGCTGCTGTTGCTGTTGTGACTGTACCTGTGCAAGTTGCAGCTGGAGCTTGAGGGACTCAATTTTGTACTTGTGATGCATCTTCTCTTTCTTGAGTTCAAGTCATGCCATCTGCTGTGTGTGATAGTACTGAGCCTCTTGTTGAGCTTGTGCTTGGTCAACTCACGTTGCTTCATGAAATTCAGCAATAAAATCCTTCCAGGCTCCCTTTGGACCTGGAGTGCGTGAAGCTTGCCGAGCGGAGTCAACCTTAGAGTTCAGTGTGATTGACGCAGAGGCTGCCCTTGCAAGTGTGTGAGATGAGGAGGAACTGGAGTCTTCCAGATCCATCCTTGGCTTAACATCGGGGGCCTGCAAGTCTGGATGGGAGAGTGGCAAATCCGGAAGTGGCATGTTGTCAGGGACGTGTCCGGGGTAGAGGAGGCCCGGGTGAGACGCCCGACACTAGGAGCCTCGTGGGGTGTGGAGCGGGCATGCGTACTGGCAGGCCCGGCTCAGGAGGCAGTCCCTGGCCACTTAGACTGAAGTGGAAAAGGGTGTTATTGTTATTAAAAGGGAATACTATGTTACTTACCTGAAGTGGAAAAGGGTGAGAAGAAGGCTACTTCTTCGGTTCCCACTTCAGGTATGTTTATATACATGCGGCTTAGGTCACATGACGGGTGCCACGTCATCCTCGCATACAGCCGTAGTCACCCGGGTGTCCCTGTGGGGGATCCCGAGGGCGTCCGCTGTGAACGCGCGAGCTGGACATAGCGGGGGTCACCCGAGGCGCCCGGGCTGGGCGTGTCGTGAGCGCGCTGCAGGTGGGTCAATGGTACATTGATAGGAAAGGTCGTCCATGTAGAATAAAGAGAAAATAAAGAGAAGGTGAGATAAGTAAAGAGAGAGTGGAATGGAGAAAGAAAGAAAGAAGAAGGGGGGGAGGAGGTAGGGGAAGACTGGGTGGCGGGGTACCGGGTGAAGTGGGGCCGGGTGGGGCCGGGTCAGGCGGGTGTGCCCTGACACATGTCAATGTGAAAAAGTGGCGAGTTGGTATTAAGAAGTCCCGGGTCAGCTTGAGGTGCTGGTTCAGCCCAAGGGAGCGGGGAGTTGACATGGGGAAGTGGAAGTTGGAAAGTAGACAGTGATTCAGGAGGTGGATGGGAGGGTGTGTTTGCCTTATCCATAACTTGCTGCGGAGCAGAGACAGCTTGCTCCAAATCACTTACCATTTTTCTGGCACCACTTGTCGAGTTTGTTACCATTTGAAATGCATACTTGGGATGTTCCGACCACCAAGCATGCAGTGTGTTCCACCAAGGGAAAGATGCTTTAATCTTCTCTTAAATTGATGAAAATATCAGCAGCATATGTAAGGAATTAATAAGCACCTCACCTAGCTGGTTTCTATACACCTTGGACTGACTCTCATCCTCATCTTTCAGACCTTCACCAGTGTTGCGCATTGTCTTGCGATATGTAGTATATGTCTTCTGTAAACTGTAATTGAGAAAATATGAGATGGCCTTAGCTGACAGCACAAGAGAGACTTACTAGGTGATCCAACCCAAGACAGAAGTTGCATAGTGCTCAGGTTCCATTAAATAAGCGCCACGTTCTTCCTCACCCCCAACATCAAAGACTGCCTTTGCTATCTCATGATAGTATTTGACCTTGGGTTTGCTACCAACAACCTAGGTGAATGTGAATGATGAGAGCTGGTGCTGTCACATTGGGGGCTCACCTTTTTGCACGACTCCTTCTTTGCATCCTTGACAGAGTTGCTGAACATCTTGAGTTGTACATCTAGGTGGTTTGTGAGGTTGTCATATCCATACAATCCCGACCTCCACTCCGGGCTCCCAGAACTCCGAAACCGACTCCAGAGCCCTACTTCCCTTCTGTCACCTTCTCCCTGCCGACTCCCAAGAGGTTATCCCACCTCCGGCTCCAACACCACCTTCGGTCCGACTCCGGAACATTCCGGGTCCGACCCCAACCTCGACACCTTCCAGATGAGTACACAACACCTATGCTCCCGGCTCCGGACCTCCGCTCCGGAATCCTGTTTGCGTCTCCGTCTCTGGAACCTCCGGTGAAGGAGAGAATGAAGGAAGGTCAGTTGGGAGGTTCAAACGAGACCACCACCAAGCTGTTCCCTGGTTCTTTAGTTAGGATGGGGAAGTGTACTAGTGTTATTTATTGTAAATATAGTACCAATCCGAGTGTTTTGGCTAATTCTATTTTTATGGGTTAGTTTTAAAGTTCCTGGGAATTGACTTACAGATAAACCGAGCCCTGCAGAGCTGTTTCTTTATTGAAATTTCTTAATTTGTCTAGGTGTAATTCTGAGTAGCGTTGTTTAATTTGGATTTTAAACTTGAATTTAATCTTCTACTTGGTGAAGTTTCAAAGATTCTATTCAGTTAATGAATTTGGATTGTGTCTGGAGTGTCCCTTGGGTTTGTTTTATTTTTGTCTTATTTTATTGCTTGTTTTAACAGTAGCAAGATAACTGTTTTGTGTTTACACTTTGAAATCTGGAGTGTTAACCAGCTCTCCTGTTGAAATATCTACTTAATATTTCTCTCCTTAATTGCTGCCTTTTACTACAGTGGCAATCTTAACTGTATATCACTTTTTCGCACTGGAGTGACAACCAGAAATGCTTGAGAAAAATAATAGTCTATTTTCTTACTTCTCTGAGGGGGGCAAAAAGTCGCAGAAAGGGTCTCCCTTTTATACTCCTTGGGTCGCCTTCCTTTTTCACACTCTACCTTCTATTTACAGGATTTATTTACAGTGTATTTTTCTCAAACTGAATAAAAAATGAAAATTTCACACTATAGTTCTACTGCGCTTTTGCTGCGCTGAACTGCGGTTCTACTGCGGTCAGACTGCGCCTAGAATCCTTATTGTCCTCCCTTGCCTAAGCTATTTTAATGGTTAATTAGAACTTGGCTGCACTGCATTTGCTGCAGTTACCTATTTCAAATTCCCTATATATACCATTAAATTTGCTATGACTCGATGATTCTGAATTCAAACTTCGCATTACTATGCATACGGCTGTGCTGAGACCTTCAGCTGATTTATTCCATTTTTATTTAGTGACATTTAGTTAAAATGAGACTGAAATGGTAAATGAGTGAATTATTCAGGTTTAAAACTGAAAGAAAAAGTTGCTAGTAGTCAAGAATTACTCAAACGAATGTATTATAGCTCTCCACCTCATTATAATATTGTTCCCTAAAATTCCCGCCATGGTCCATCATAGTTTAGTGGTTTTCATGAATTTCGTTCATATTCCCTGATTCCCCTTTGTACTATCACATCCTAATCCTCCATATGTATTGTTCGTTGTTATAGTAGGTCGTCCTTGAAGATATCATATTTTTATGTATTTTATTTAGGACTCTGGACCTCTTGAAGCTGTTTTCCCGCGCGTTTTCAGGTTTCTAACTTCATGTCCCTATATCTCATTCATTTCTGGATGTTTTCTCACGTTCTTGGTATCATAAATTTTCATTTATTCCCACCTTTCCAATGGTACTAAGGTTGTGTCCTATTTCCTGGTATTTGTTGAGTTAGCAAAAGTTTGCACGCATATTCGGTAATCACGTGCGTCATTCCCATAGTTGTTCGTATGCGGGCACCGTTTCCATTTAATTGTTCGGGATTTATGATATGCACGGGTTTTTATTTCTTTCATATGGGCTTCTGTGATTTATTTCAGATTTTTCCCTCATGATCTAAGGTTGTTTTGCACTTTCCGTGCTTTGTTTTGACTGGGCTCTTCCTTATTTGGACGGAAATTGGTCTTCGTGATCTGCCGAAGTGCGGATCTCGGTTCCGATGGCTGGTTCCCTGCGCATCGCCACCCTCACGTGTCATTACACATGATGCGGATTTCTATATTCCCGTCATGGGTATAACTTCACAACGGCTGGACCGTTTGGGCTGAAAATCTGCATAACTATAGTTCCCCATTTTGAATAATTTCCGTGTAAATTTCGTTGTATGTTTCAATTATGGATCCTACGCAAACATTGTCTTTTCCCTGAGCTCGGACTTTTGATGTCGCTATTCCCATTATTGGATATCTCATTAACGCATGATCCTTTTATTATGAAAATTTGGGAGGATTAAGATTAGATCCCTTCCTTTCTAATGGCCCATCAAGCTTGTCTCGGTCGTTACTGGTTAATCTTTGCGCTTGCCTTTTAGATATTGTCCTTGTTTTGCAGGAGTTTTAGTCATATCTCCGTCGTTTATGGGTAGTTTCCCCTGTAATTACTCTCATTGGGTCCGTTTGGGGGACATCTACATTTCTTATTATAAACACGACTTTGAATTTTGCATTAGTTCCTGAGGAATCCTTGTTCCGTGGTACTTCCATCCTTGGCTACGTGTGCGGACGTGGGAAAGTAGTTTCCGTGGAGGTTCTCTGATTGTTTTTATAGTCAAATCTTGGTCGATTGTCTTAATTCTTGTTTTAATATTTGCTATAAATTCCCCCGGGAATTCCGTCTCGTTGATGGTAAGCTTGAAGTATTTTTGCTATTTTTCTTTCTTTCGATTTATCATGTATAGTCATAATAATTCGTAAAAATTCGTAAAAATTCGTGTCCTTCAGTTTTCTTATATCTACTTGTTGTATGAGGTTTTGTGATTTATCTGGCATATTTCCATAATGGGTTTCCATAGTGTGACCATTATTTCTCCTACACCGGTCTTAGCTCCGACCTCAGACTTTGACCCCACCTCTGCTTATACCCATTGTATTGGTTAGCTCATTCCATTTAATTATGTTTGCCAATATTCCGGAGTTTAACCTCCGAGTTCGGACTTTCCGGACTTACTCCGGACCTTGCAACTATTGCATTGTCCATTTCAATTCTCCCTCATTCCTATTTGGGCTGCTGCTTCCTTCTATTCAGTCAGCTAGCCATTCCCGACTCCCATCCTCCTTCCTTCCTCCTTGGGCCTTGGCCCTTCATTCCTCCTTTGGGAAACACCATTGAGTCAAACACTTGACCCTCAGTGTTGTTCCTCTTTCCATCTCCCTTTGTCTCCTTTCGTCCTACCCTTGTTCCTTTTGATTCTGGACCCCTCCTTATATACAATGTACCTAGTAACTTGTAACCTCAGTCCGAAATCGACCTGAATTCCCCCAGGAGACTTTCCCTCTGCTAGATCCGAAATTAGGGACCCCCAGGACAACCAGCAATGGCACAGCGCTCCGCCTGAGTCGCTGAGGCCGAGGTCCTTCCATGCTAAGTCTCTGATTCCACTCCGGAGTCGTCTGAATCCGCTAGTTCTAACAGAGGTATTCAATGAGGCGGTCTGTCCAGCGTTCATTGGAATCCCATTGGATCTTTGGGGGTTGTCGGGAATGATGGGGAAAATATGGAAAAATATGGAGTGAGTGTATGGAGTGTTGGATAGTGATAGAATGAGTATCGGGAGCGTCAGCGGATATGTACTGCGTGTTGGTGACCAAATTCCGCAGAATCCGACTTTTTGCGGTACACAGAGTTGTCCCCACAACACTGTTCCTAGATGCATGCTCACCTAGGCTGTGCCTCAGAGTAGAGGCAAACCCTCCCAATCTCAGGATCTGGGAAGCCACCGCAACACCGGTGCCAGAACCCCATTTGGCAACCAATGCATCATTGTCCCTGACGATGTGCACATTCAATCAAGGTTCACACCGGAACCTTTGATCTTACTTCCTGATGCTCACAACCAGGAAGCTCCAGACTCACACCCACATGGCTGGCCCTTCCTCCAGTCCCATGGTGGGAATTGACACCACTCCATCTGGAAGTGGTGATTTGGGCCTGCAAGGGCCCAGCAATGCATCATATGCATTGTGCCATCTCAGGAGATGCTGAACCTGTTGCAGCATCTTGGTGTCTGTCCTACTGCCACCCTCACATTCACCATCATGGGCCCGCTCTCCCTATTTCAAGAGTGCATGAGTATTACATGAATGCATCAACAAAGTCAGAACTGGCTTTGTCAGCTTGAAAGCCAATGTCACCCAGTTGGAAGTCAATGTCACTCAGGTGGATAATCACATTACCACCTTGACCACTGCCATCAAAAGATTCAATAAGAAAATCGATGAGATTCTCTTTCCACTCAATTGATGTGACAAGCCAAAGCTGTGGACAGAAACGTGAGTTGACCCACCCATGGCCACTCAGGCCCAACTTCCCTCCCCACTCACCTGCACACCAGAGAGGCATACTGAGACTTCCCTTCCACCCATTTTGGGATGGAATAATTATTCCTCTAACACTGTAGAGTTGAACACACTGAGTCACCCAGCACTTTGCTGTGTAAAGTCCTCAGCAATTCCCCTCCCCCAGTGGGAGCTGAATGTCATTCTAGCGTTGTTCTGGAGGCCCAACCGACTGGTTTACCATCGGTTATAGATGGAATCAGCAGCACTTCAGCTGCTGCCAAGTGCCAGCTCATAGAGCTACCCAGTGCTTCAGCAATTCCTGGGTTTGACAACCCAGCAGCACCTACTCCCTCCACTCTGCAGGAAGTCGAATCTGAACCACCGAAGGATGCTTTCCTGGTGCTGTTAAGTGCCAGGTCACCAAGATGCACGATGCTGTTCCACATCGTGATTTTGGTGATTCATTATTCTCTGCCCCTTCCGCAGAAGGGAGACCAACCCTTTCCAAGAAAAGGGTTCTCATCTATCGTTCACTGCATAGTGAACGACCTGTTCTGCCCACAGACACTCCACCTCTGGGAAAGTCTGTGTGTTCCTGG